AGGAGATGGCCAGGCTCCAGCGGCTAGAGGAGCTGTGGCTTAGCTGTGGAACAGGACAAGTCCTCTTGCCAAGGCTGTCAGGAAGGGGGTGGGGCAGTTGTGAGAGCTGGTGAGGGTAAGTGCACCCAGGAGAGCTCCGCCCACTGCAGGTGTCAGGGCGGGTAAGTGCATCTCAGGAGCTTCTAGAAGTTGGGTCCCACCTGGTTAGCCTGCACGCTGTTCCTTCCACCTGCGAGGAGCCTTCCATCCCCAAGGGTGAGGGGAAGGTGAAGACCATGCGGAGGGGGCGGGGAGGGCAGATAGAGCTGTGTCTGAGGTAGGGGTGGGGCCATTCGTTGTCAGGTAGGTGGAGCCTCTGTGGAGATGTGCATGCTGTCCTGGGGGCAGGGGGGAGAGAGCAGGCTTCCCCCACCGCACCTCCCTGTGCACCCTGAACGGAGACACCCAAGCTGGCCTCAGCACTGCCCAGAAGCCTGCATTGCAGCTCCATGGACCCCGAGAACCCCCAGGGCTGCAGACAGCATGGCAGGCTGAGCAGCATGTGGAATGCAGGGGACGCCCCTCCTCTCTGGACCCTTGCCCTTCGTGCACTGACAGCTGCCCCAGTGCAGCGCAGTGTCCTGCCAGGGTGTGTGAGCTGCTGGTCCGCCTGCGGCCTGGCCCTGCTTGCGACGCCCCTGCTTGCACTAAGCTGCCTGCCTGTCCCTGTGGCAAAGGCCAGGGCGTGCTTCTGTCTGGCTTGTCTTTCCCCCCACAGCATGGACAGCCCCAGAAGCAAGCGGTGCAGCAGGCTGAGTACCTGCTTGCTGACCGCGTACTCGCAGCACCTGAACAAGCTTCACACATTTCCCCCAACCCCAATTGGGGTCGGAGCACCTGGCAAGAAAAGGGGCGTGGCCAGCGACTTGAAGAGAGACTACCACCCTCAATTGGGCAGACTCCTGGATCCTAACCTGACTCCTCCCTCTCCTTTCTAATTCCCTTTTTTGCTTCTTTCCTGTAACTCGCTACATGTGGTTCCTCTTTGGTTGCTCTTGGGGCTGGTATGGGTAGCTTTCCTTGTGGCAGAGAATGCCGGGAACCTCAGGTGGGGGTGACTCACCCAGGAAGAGATGGGGTGGGGTGGGGGATTGGGGAAGGTGGCAACCCTTTCAGGATTTCATAGCAGAGTTTCTGAGTCCTGCTTCTGAATATGCTAAGCATTTGGAGAATAAACCTATTTTTGTAAAAATACCTGAGCTGTGGTGGTCATTGCCCTGGCCCATGTTCTGGGCTTCGTGGTGTCTAGGACCTGTGCTTAGAGGTGACCTAGGGGCATGGCAGCTGGTCACAGGTTGTGGTGAGTGGTCCCTGTGAACCAACCCAAACAGCAAGAAGCAGGCATGCCAAAGGAGCAGGTAAGCATCTCTGGGATTGGATGCTGCAACTTCTCTTCCTCTTCCAGGTAAGACTTGGGCTGTTTATTTTCCTAAAAAGAGAAATTTGGTTGCTTGTGACTGGGGTGTGGTGTCTAGGCAGTTCTTGTTATTGGAGTTGGCTGTGCCACCAAGTCCCATAGGCCTTTGCTGTTTTTCAGTTCATTTATCCAAGAAAGATTGACGTTTGTAACTCTGTCATCCATGGCTAGTGACCCATAGTCACCTTGGAGTGTTTCAACAGGCCTGGGAATATCTATGGGGAGGGAGCCTGGCATCTTCCCTAATGGCCTTTGTGATTTTCTGCTTTGATAATTGTGTTTAGGAGAAACACTTAAGGGTAATTGGTGCCTCTCAGAACAGCAACTGTACCACGATGGGCCCTTGAGGCAGGCGCCTTTCCTCTGTCTCTCACTGACAGACCTTCTCTTCTTCCGCTTCTTTCTCCATTCTGCAAATCAGCGTCACTGCCCAGAAAAGAGCCTGCAAAACTGCCACCTGTGTGACCCAACGCCTGGCAGACTTGCTGAGCAGATCAGGGGGCATGCTGAAGAGTAACTTCGTGCCCACCGACGTGGGCTCCAAGGCCTTTGGCCGGCACCGCAGGGACCTTCAAGCCTGAGCATCTGAGAGACCCCTGGAAGAAGGTGACTGTCCTTGTTCCGTTGGGTAAGAGGATGGATCATAGCAGGGTGTCGTAGGGGTGTAGTCAACACACGCACCGGACTCATGTGGTTGGAAGAAAATTCCATGGAGGTAGGGCTGTGTGTGTGTGTGTGTGTGTGTGTGTGAGAGAGAGAGAGAGAGAGAGAGAGAGAGAGACAGGAGAGAGAGAAGGAAAATGTAATGACTAGATAGGGTCCCAGTCTCTAAAACCCTTAGAATTTGGGTTCACCTCCTTTCAGTTTTCCCAGTGGTGGTTCCGAGATCATCAAGCTAGAAATGAGTCCTCGTGTTACGGTGAGCGTGCTAGGCTCCTAAGCCAAAGGATGCTGGCTCAGTCCATTTATAGGTGCTTTTGAAGAAAGACCTGGCAATGGCTTCAGGAAAACCAGCCACTGAGACCCTGTGAGGCTCAGTTCTACGCTGCCACAGGCGGGGTTACTGCGAATCTGAACTGACTTGTTAAGAACCCGCTGTTGGCGATACCAACACTAGTTTACTTTATGTGGTGCTCCTTAGAGCTATCGTCACAACCTGTCCAGCATTTGAGTTTGAAAACAGCCATTCGCCTTCTGGGAGCATCCACTACAATGTCATGTCCTTCTTAATGGGCTCCAGAACCAAGTCTGCTCCTTACTAGCTTTAGGACTGGACGATGGCCTATCACTTAACCTCTCTGAGCCTCAGTTTCCTCATCTGTAAACCAAGAGTAACAATAGTGCTGACATTGTAAAAGGAAGATGAGGTCATCTCTATCAAGGGCTTACCAATCAAAGTCTATAAATGCCAGCTGTTTTCTTCTCCTTATAGGTTGTCAGGCTGACAGCAACATTACAGGAGAGCGACTTACAGAAAACTGTCCAAGGAAGACGCCTGTAGCTGCAGCTGACGAGGCTGGAAACAGCCTTCTTCGTTGGAAAGCCGCCACCAAAGGGAAACGCATAATAAGCTCGTGGTCATTGTCTGTTGTGCATCTCTTTAACATTTGGTTTTGTGCCTGCTACCTATGACAATGTGGCTCTCTGGCTTACCTAGTAGCAAGCCCGGTCCTCCTCCCCCATCACATAGCCTGTCGATTCTGCCCCGCTGCTAAACCTCAGGGGATATGAACGCACTGCTTCTTGGGTGTCTGGGGACACATAGCAATGCTGTGCCTTGACTGAACTCTTTGTTGAAAGAAATATCCATCTTGTCCTATGTGAACTTCATCCAGATTAAAAACATATTTTCAATTACACTTACATGGTGTGTGTTCCTGTGACTGTTTCTGCTGGTTTTCCCTGGAGGGCTTCTGAGACCTGTGAGCAGTTTGTAGACCAGGCTGACCCTCTGGCAGCAAAGGCAGGGTACTTGGGGTGGAGTCTCTGTGTCCTCTATCCATAATTCCCGATATCATGTCCCTCATCTGAACGAGAACCCATGAGTCCCAGAGGACGGCTCACATTTCTTTTCAGGGGATTCCCTGATCCCTATTACCAAGGACTATACCAGTACTTACTTCTCCACCATTCTTAGCTTCCCTTCCCATCCCCTCCTCCTCTGTGTAAGGGTCCTTTCGTGCACCCCTTAGCCTGGAAAACCCTTTAGGGGGAAATGGTTCAGTGTCAGAACTGGGGTCACAGCCTGGCAGATTTGGAAAGACTACGAGATAGATGCCATCTGATCTAATTTGTGTATGCGCTGAGGGACAGAAGGGACTTGAACAGTATATTTAACAAGGACACTCCTATATGTAATAAATATGTACTGAAGCCTGGTCTATTCCCGGCACTGCTCCAGGTACTAGGAATACAACCAGGAGAAGAAAAGACAACAGTCCTTGCCCTTATGGAGTTCATACTCTACCTGAGGATAGATTAATGGAATCGTGCTATGGGATCATGGCTTCTCCGCATTGGAATGAGTCTGGGATGTTAGAGGGACAAGTAGGCATCCTAGCGGAATCATGAGCTACATCTTGAACGTCTGACCCCAAAGTCGGCGGGTCAAACCCACCAGCTGCTCCATGGAAGAAAGATGAGACTTTCTACTTCCATAAAGACCAACAATCTCAGAAACCCACCCGGGCAGTTCTCTTCCATCCGCCAGGGTTGCGGTGAATCAGAGTGGACTCCCTGGCAGTGAGTTGGGGTTGGTTTTCGGAATATGGGCGAGTGCCATGTTTGATGGGGGAATTTTTCGGCATTAACATCCTCAGTCTCTGCGTGGGCCTTCTGGGAGAGGCTACTAACTGCAACTCTCAAGTGAACTGAGAAAGCCAGCTTCAATGGCGGGCAGTTAGGTTTAGGTAAGGAGGTAGTTAATTAGGAAAGTCAGCCCATCTCACCCAGTGACTAGTTATTTCCTCCAGAGCTCATCAAAAATGTGTCTGTTTCCACCTTTCTGCCTTTCAGTACATTCTTTTTATTATTACTACTAAATACTTTTATTGGGGGCTCTTACATCTCTTATCACAATCCATACATGCATCCATTGTGTCAAGCACCTTTGTACATATGCTGCCATGATCATTTTCAAAACATGTTCTTTCTACTTGAGCCCTTGGTATCAGCTCCTCTTTTTCCCCTCCTTCCCCCACCTTCCCACTCTCATGAACCCTTGATAAATTACAAATTATTTTTATTTTCATATCTTACACCTTCCACTGTCTCCCTTCACCCATGTTTCTGTTTTTCATCTCCCTGGGGGGGGCAGGGGCAGGTTATTCATCTTGCATTTGGTTTCCCTTTTCTTCCCCTTCTCCCCCCACCTTCCTACTACTCTCATGATATTGCTCCTACCATTCCTGTTCCTGAGAGTTTGATCTGTCCTGGATTCCCTGTGTTGAGAGCTCTTATCTGTATCAGTGTACATGCTCTGGTCTAGCTGGATTTGTAAGCTAGAACGGGGGTCATGATTGCAGTAGGGGAGGAAACATTAAAAAACTAGAGAAATGTTGAGTGTTTCGTTGGTGCTATACTGTACCCTGGCTGACTCACTACTTCCTTGTGACCCTTCAGTGAAGGAATATCCAATTGTCTATAGATGGGCTTTGGGTCTCCACTCCAACCCTCATCATTTGCATCAATATGATTGCTTGTTTTGGGTCTTCTGATGTCTGATACCTGATCCTATCCACACCTCATGATCACACAGGCTGGTGTGCTTCTTCCATGTGGGCTTAGTTGTGTCCCTACTAAATGGCCACTTGTTTAGATTCAAGCCTTTAAGACTCCAGGCAGTATACCTTTTAATAGCCAGGCACCATCATTCTTCACCACATTTGCTTATGCACCCATTTTGACTTCAGCAATCATGTTGGGAAGGTGAGCATCACAAAATTCCAGATTATTAGAGCAAAGTGTTCTTGTGTGGAGGGAGGTCTTGAATAGAGACCCAGTGTCCATCTGCTACCTTAATACTTAACACTTAAATATATGTACATAGACTTATATCCCTATTATTATATATGAATATATTTACATATGTATAAGCCTATATTTATACCTCTATAAATGTCTTTGGCTTCCTAGTTCTTTCCTTTATTTCCTTTTACTTTCCTTCTGTCCCACTATCATGTTCGACCTTCATTTAGCTATCTGTACTTCCTCTCGGCTACATTGCCCTTGATCGAACCCTGTCAGGCATTCTGTGCCCTCTTCACCATCAGTTTTAGATCTCTTGTTGTTCCCTTATCCCTGGGTTTGTTGACTCCCCCCTTACTTTACCCTACCTCCTTCTCTCCCATGTCCCCCTGGAGCCACTGGCCCATTATTTTTTCCTTCGGATTGTTTATCCTGCCTATCTTATATGGATAGACATTAGAAAAAAAGAAAGAAAGAAAGAGAGGGAGAAAGAAAGGAGCCTATAAATAGTTCCATTGTCTGTCTGCTGACCCTTATGAATGTTTTCCAATCAGGTCTAACGAGGTGAAAAGCCCTGCCCACCGATTCCAAAGTCCATTTTTTAGATTCCTCCGGAACTTTGTGGCTTTGCTCTCCTTGCTGCTCTGTTGTGCACCCCTCATGTTTCACCCTGGTGTGTGTGTGGGGGGGGTGGGGGGGGGGGGGGGGGTGTCAAACCGGGCACAATTCCCACACTGTGTCTCCAGTGCTGTCCCTTGTAGCATTTTGGGTCAGTGAGGGGTGTCATGTCTCATGGTGGGGCAAGCCCATGGTCCTCTCTGTGCACTGGCTGCTCCAAGCAGGAAGGTCACCCTCAAGGCTCGGTGGGCCAGGTTGTGGCTCTCCCTTCTGTAGTGCATTCTTTCGGGGAAGGGGTCGACATAGCTGGGATTGGGGCGGGCCCCACAGACGTTTCTGTTAGTTCACTGCTGTTAGTTCTGTTAGTTCACTGCTGTTAGTTCTGTTAGTTCACTGCAGGTCTGTTGCCCTCAAGGCTTGGCACCCAGGTTGCGGTCTGGTCCCTCTCTCCCTTTCCTCTGGAGACATGAACAATACCCTCCCCCTGTGCGGGACAGTACCCTGCTCCCCAAATGTCCCAGCCCTGAAATACCATGGAGCAGCACACTCTGCACAAAGGGAGTCACTGTGCATTAGAATAGACCCAGTGGCAGTGTGCCACATCATCACCTGAGACAGCCCACTGGGTTTTGCGATCACTTTGACTCAGAAAACCCTTCCACTAGTCCACCAGTGAGCAGAATTCACTCTCTGTGTTCACGGGAGTCAATGGGTTCTCAGAAGACGGGTCCTGGGGCAGATGCCTCCGGGAGAATTGGCTGTGATTGAAAGCAGAACTTTAGGTTGTTTTCTGTCTTGTCTTGGTTTGGGTTTTAGTTTGGAGTTGAGGTGGAGGTTTACAGAATGCTGGGCATTAATTCTTAAGGATTTAAACTGATGGTTTTTGTTGTTTCTCTCCCTGTTTGTTGTTCCCGTTACTTTGGGTTTCCCAGCTGGACTTGGTTTTGTAGGTGTCATCACACGCACTGAAACTGATCACCTATTGATTCCCGGCAGTGTATGGGAGGAGGAGGAGGGGAGGGAGTGAGAGTCTTCAATCATTCAGATCTTCCCATTCCTGTGCTCTTGGGGGGCTTTTCTGGAGGGTCCTGTTGCAGCTGCTTTGTGTAAGCGATGGGTGGAGCTAACCAATGTCTTGTCCTTGTCTCTCGTGGGGCCCTGAGCCAAGCACTATAAATCTGGGCCTCTTCTCTCCTACTTGGGCTTGCCAGGACAATGATAAGATTGATTGTTTCCATAAAGAGGGGGACTTGAGAGATTTCCTGGAGAGCTTGGCTCATCTGTCGATTTAGGCAGCATATAGCAATGGGTTTTTTTGCTTTTGTTTTTTTGTCTCATAAAGGTAGCCAACAGTTTGCAAGACTTTGCAAATCCCTTAATACAATCCACAAGGCAACAAACAGGGTAGCGACTGACCATTGCTTTAGCCTTCTACTCTCTTCCCCTCTCCTCCAGCACTCTGCTTATACTGGCACGCTTTCAATTTGCCAGAGGCAGCATGCTCTTGCTGCCACAGGGCCTTTCCACGTGCTCGTCCCCTGGTCCAGAGTTGTGCTATTGCTTCTGTTGCCACTGAACTCTTCCTTGTCTTTCTGATCTCTCAATTGCTCCACCGATTGCTTCCACGGAGAAATCTTCCCAGACTATCAACCCCTGAGTCTAAGTTATATTTCTTTTTTATTTGATTACGACTCATTGGTATGCCTTTCCTTCCGATCTTCATTCCAGTTTTCGTTTACTCGTTAGTGTGATTGTTTGATTAATGTCTGCTCTCTCTTAGACGTTACACAGGAACTACATCCAGTTTGATATCTGTTGTAACACTTAACCCAGGGACAGAAATAGTGAGTATTTAGTTAGCATTTGTGGCATGAAGGAAGGAAGCGATTAGAACCCAGTGTGATAAA